TATCTAGACGCAAGCAGAGTTAGTTAGAGGGAATACGAGGCACAGGTACAGGGAGTACACAGACTGTTTCAACATCCTGACACAGCACCAGGTTACGCTCTCTTTACTATCATACATGTGTCTTGTTCGATATACACTATATCACAATCTAACTCAATTACGAAATGTTCTGGTGCATTGGTGTCCATGGGATGCTCTGAAGCTCCGAGACTATCTGAGTCCTGTCACTAGGGATGAGTCAGATGAGTATCGCTGCAATGTCCCTCTTATTTTCTTTCACGTGGTCGAGATTCACTTGCCCATTAGGGTTTGCAGGTAGTTTAGAAGAATGATAAGCTACCCACCACCGCTTTACTCCACCAACCAAGAATTGCACGGGTGTGTTATCGATTAATAACAAAGATACAATTTAGAGGTGTGTATGGTACAACTAACAATCGTTTTGTTGCAGGTATGACCGTAGGAAGAGGTACAAGACCAAGGATTGGCGCGTGACACACAATGTGTACATCCAATTGTGGCAGACCAGGGACCTGCAGCCGATCGATGCGGGTCCCCCACACGACCAGCACACCTTCGACGAGTACCTACGGTGCCTTCACAGGTCTACGAGAACACATATCAAGCCCCCATACACTGAGGAGGCGATTGATGAGGACGACGAGGAAGATGTGATCGAATATGTGTACGACGTTGCCACTAGGGACGACACACAACTACAGAGAGACCCGCTTTAAAGATACGTGGTAAGATACTCGAATGGTACAATTTGTTATCCATTTGGTATTAAGTATGTGTACTAAAACTGTCCAACTGTGTTTCTGTACCCAGGTGACACAATTGTCAAGGCTGTCCAATGAAGTAGTGTTTCGACTTCACAAGTCTAGAGGGCAGACGTTCTCGAGGCTTTTGTGGAGGTAAACATAAACTTGTCCGTTCCGAAAATATTTCTTTAGTGTATATGCATTTGGGAAATGCACTAACTTTAACGTCTATTCATGCAGAAGGTGAAGCGGAGCTGTAGGAAGCTAGCTCAGAAGTTGAGCTGCATGGACACTCCTTGGGTGGAACCCGATTACCCAGCGCAGTCGGGTGCCACGTCTTCTGGCTCTTTGAGGACACCAGCCGGCTCTTCTCAGCCGATGACAGGTGCCGCTTTTGCTATGCGTACACCACCACATTATAGCGTTGGGAAGGACCCTACAAATGAGGACGACGACGATGACGACGACGACGATGACGACGACGACGATGACCCCCCAGGCTTCCGTATACAGCACCACCAGTGGGACCCTTGGCAGTAGGACGAGATCGGCATGTCTCAGCTAGGTGGTGCCCCGCTTGGTACCCAAGGAGCCTCACAGGTAGTAAGAAAGATAGTTTCTTTAAATACGTAGGCTCCATGAACTAAAGATTATAAAGATTATAAGTAATCGTGCATATCATATACTTGCAGGGTACGAGCCGTAACCACCGGCAACGCGACCACATCGACGTTGGCTACACTCCCAATGTGTTGCCTACAAATCCGAAGAGACAGAGGCGTCCTAGGGATCCTTACACTCCTGGGACTTAGTTGGTTATGTCGAACTTATGTCGAATGAATATTATCGTCCGAAACTTGTAGACTCATAAACCAATGAAAATGTTGTGTCAACTTGTCAACTTGCGCACGGACTCCATTTATTTGCTTCATATTCGTTTTAATGCGTCGCGACAGCACTTGTAGTTGTTTACAGCACCGACAGCGGCTCCCTTTCAATTGTAATTGAGGCTGGGCGGCTTTTGTCTGTGTCCAGGTCCTGCCGCGCCATGGGCTATGGCACGGCATACCCTGCCACATCATCGGGCAGCGTCCCGGTCGTCGCCACATCATCCCTCTCGCCGCGCCACCATGCATGGCGCGACACATGCGTTTCGTCGCGCCAGGGAAATAGGCGTGGGCAAAAGTGTTAGTTTTGGAAAAAAAATAAAATAGTGTTAGATTTAAAATTAGTTTACAAAAAGTGTTAAAAATAAAAAAAAATCTCCGCGTCACTGGCTAGGGTTTGGCGGTCCGCCTCCACCCCGGCGGCCGCCCCACTGGTCCTGCCCAAGGTCGGCCACAACCTCGCCTAAGACTCCCGATGCCATCCCTTCCCCGCCTGAGACTCCTGGCGCCATCCCTTCCCCGCCGCCTGCCCTACTCGGTGTCCGGTGCCCACCCCAGCGAGGTGCAGCACCGGCCGCCTGTCCCGCCAGCACCGGGCCCAGCGTGGCCCCCAGCCACAGCCAAGGGCGTGCCAGGTCGCCCTGCTCCTCCACGGACTCGTCCCCCGTCGGCAGCGCTCCTTCAAGGTACGTCCGTCTCCCCTCTGTTCCAACAAATAGATCCCTCTATTCCAAATAGAATGGGTGACAAGTTTAGATCAAGAATGTATGACTATTTGCTGCGATAGTGAATGTATGATTAGTTGTTGCCTGCAAATTGATTGATTTTTTTTGTTTGGCTCAAGAATGGGTGACAAGGCAGATTGGAGTGATGGTTTTTTGAGGTCTTTGTTTGATGCCTGCAAAGAAGAGATAGAAGCTAGGAATAGGCCGATGGGGATTTTCACTTCTTCTGGTTGGAAGAATGTTATTTCCAAGTTTGCACAAAAATCCGGCGACAGGCAAACAAAAAAACAATTGAAGAACAAGTTAGATGCTTTGAAAAAAGAATATTCAATCTTTATGAAGTTCAAAAATTGTGCCACTGGTCTTGGGTGGAATGAAGAAAAAAAACTGTTGTCTGCTCGCAAGAATGGTGGGATAAACACCTTGTTGTAAGTACTGTACTGTCACTCTAAAAAATTCTTTCCTATTCCTTGTTCTATTGTGCCTTGCTAATTTTATTTATTTCATTTCAGAGATGCAACAATCCTGAGAAAGGAATCAAATGCAGTCATACAAAGTTTCAAAAACAAGGGCCAAAGTTCCTTGAAGATTTGCATATCATTTTTGGCAAGACACATGTTAGTGGGTCTTTAGCTTCCTGTCCTAGAGATATATCCTCCGATGAGGCAAGTGACGAGGATGTGGAGGAGGTACCAAAACCTGCAGAGAAGGCTGAGAAGACAGTGAAGGCAGTGAACCTATGAAAAAGGAAACACAAGGGGTCCTCCACTGGTGTTGAAGACAAGGATGAGAAGAGCCCATTCTTTCGTATGCACAAGAACACTTGTTTGAAGACAGAAACTGCAGCAGAGAGGATCTCCACAAGGGTTGAAGCATCATCAGCTCCTCCAACCAACCAAATTCCTACCATTGCAGAGGCTGTGAAGATGGTGAAAGAATGTAGTGTGGAAGAAGGAACTGCTCTAATGTACATGGCTTTTTCCGCACTGAAAAATCCTGATTTTAGAGAGTTCTTTACCTCTCTACAAACAAATAAAGGAAGGCTCAATTTGATTGAGAGGGAGCATGAGAAGGAGATGAAGCACCAACGATTTGTTTCCATGTTTGTTAGATTATTTTCCTATGTTGAACCATTATTTGCTTGTCATATGCGAGAACGTTTTCCTATGTTGAACCAAAATAAGTTGTACTGTTGTCATATATTTGTCAATTATTTATTATTATTATGTTCTGTTATCTATTATTGTGTTATCTATTATTGTACTTGTCAAATAAGTTGGGCATGTAAAATATTATTTATCTATTATTGTGTTATGTAGATGGATGATAAATTAGGAGCTGTAGCCAAAGAAGGGCAGAAGGGACTACTATTGCTTGCTGAACTTGCACAGCATGCTGCTGCTATTGGAGAAATGGGCAACTTGTATACTAAAAGGTATTTGCACAAAGGTGAATATAGGGAGACACCAGAAATTGGAATTCAACGGGTGATAAGGTGTATGTCACGTCTAAGGAAAATATTATCTCTTGAACTCGGGTTACCCAAATCGAATTAGGTATCTTGCACCTTTCAAAGAAAGCACGCACCATATACCAGAATTTTAGAATCGTTCAGGGCCTTCTCAAGGAAAGTACGAGATGTTCAATTTCTTGCATTCATCACTTCGCAATGTCATTGAAAGGTCTTTTGGAGTCTTGAAGGAGAAGTAGCGTATTTTAAAGGGCATACCAAGTTTCTCACCTGTTACTCAGAAGCATATCATTACGACTTGCCTTGCATTGCATAATTTTATCCGTGATAGCAAATTGCATGATGAGGAGTTCAAGAGATGTGATGCCGATGAGGATTACTTGGTATAACATACAAGTGCCACGACACAAACACAGGGAGATGAGAGTGAGGATATGGAGAATGAGGAATCCATGAATATCATTCGTGCTAGGATAACTGATGCTTTGGTTAGTGTGAGAGGAGGATGTTATATTTTGGGATAGCATTATTATTGTATAAGCCATTTCATAGATATTGTTCTAGTTATGGACCAATCACTTTGATGGATGAAAAATTTAGAAAATTTATTTTTTCTTTCTAAATTAGTCATTTACATGCAACTTAGTAAACGCATTATTTTATTACAAGCAATTTGCATATAAACTAACCCAGGCCTTCAGGGACATTACATGTATTTCTTACGCAGCCTACAGTTTCACAGCTGCACTAACCAAACGATATTCTGTTTTTTCATAGCCCACAGCTCACAACAGCTTTTCCAAAAGTCACAGCCCAACCAAAGTGAGGCCTTAGACTTTGCGTTCGCCTTTGCTCCATCACTTAACCTATCTCATATTCACTTAAAGTTAAATGTTAGTATCTAAGATTTCATAATTATTCAGAACCAAACTAAGACATTGACCCTCCTAAAATCTGTAGAACGTGACCAAAATTTTAGTTTTAAAACGTCAAGTTTCCTTCAATCAAGGAAATAGAACACTAACCTTGAGATCACGCTTCAAGATTGGTGCGAGCAGCCCACCAAGACAAAAAACCGGATAAACCACCACAGCATCCCCTTATCCTCGAGCCCAAACTGCGGTAGCGAAAACGCGAGCGCTGCAGAACAACAATGGCGACGATGTCTCTTGCCGCGGCGTCACCCCTCACCTCCACTCCCCGCGGCATCGCGGCTCCGGCTCCTCGCACGGCATTCCTGTCCCTCCGCTTAGGTGGCGTGACGGCGATGCGGTTCGCTGGACTGGCGGCGACGTCGCAGCCAGTGGAGCGTCGCGCGGCGGCGGCGGTCGCGATGGCGAAGAGGGAGCAGGAGCTGGAGGAGATCCGGGCCATGACGACGGAACAGCTGGAGGAGGAGGTAGTAGACCTCAAGGGGGAGCTTTTCCTGCTCCGCCTTAAGCGCTCGGCGCGCCAGGAGTTCAAGAACAGCGAGTTCGGCCGCATGCGCAAGAGGGTACATGTTCCTTCTATTCCATTCATTACTGTATGAGTTTTATTGACAGAATTGTTGACTTCATCTGGGAAATTAGCATAGATTGGTGGAAATGTGTCAACCTTATGATATAGTTAATATGGAAAACAAATTGATAGTTTCTTTTGTCAAACGATGGATGATTGACGGGGTCTGATCCATATGCTCACTTTTACAATCTGCATTACTCAGTGATAAAGAGTTTAAGATAGTTTGAGTTCTGACTCAGTCATAACAAAGAAAAGGGATTCCTGACTGGATCAGTTAATATATGATATCAAGTGGAAAGTCTATACTTGCAGTTACTTGCCATTTTATGGGTGGAACTTAAATTATAAGTTAAAATCTTACTGGTTCTCTTAACGCTGCTGTGACAGGTTCTATGCCTGTTATTTCTTATTAGTTGATTACAAGCATATTCCAAAGCTTAATCTTTATATGTTTATATTACAGTCTGCACTGCAAATGGATAGAATTTTTGTTTCTGTGGACATCTGAATGCAGATAAAAGAATCTTGTAAGCCACAGAATGATACGGAGATTGTTCACAGTATATGAGAAAGACCTGCATGGCATAGAAACAAATGCCTTACAATAAGATGATTAGGAATCATACTTATCGCCTTCTTTTCACTGGACTAGACACATGCATGCCTAGAACAAACAATTCGCTGCAGATTGATCAAAACCTTTGTTCCTCTAACGTGGCCTGATCAATGAACTAGCAATGAGAAAGGAATTTGTCAAGTTAATGCTGATTTTGCACTTCATACTCTTCCTTTTCAGTTAACCATTTTTTTAGAATTCTCAGTTTACTCACATTTTTATCTTCAGATTTCCCGTATGCTGACTGTGAAAAGAGAGCGGGAAATTGAACAAGGAATCAACAAGAGATTGTCTAGGAAGCTTGATAGGAAATGGAAGCAGAGCATTGTGGTCAGACCACCACCATCTCTAAGGGAGAACAAAGAGGAGTAGAAAACCACAAAAGAGGGTAATCTGCAAATGTCGTTTCATGCGAGTGTTGCAGGAAGGTTCCTTTGTGATTTCAACCCTTATTTGATTGTTATGTATTCCATGTTTACATTTTGCTAAGCATTGCTATCCGAATATGAATTTCAGTCGTTAGTCTCTTCTGTAAATTTTGATTTATTTGAGTTTATGCTCTGCGTTATTCATGCATTTTCTTATCTGCTTCACATGTGAAACTGCACTTTAGACATGCATGCTATCCAGTAATTGAGAATGGCCAGTCATTTGCACCTGAAAATACATGCTTTCTTGCCATCCTGAATCAAATCAAATTGATGTCATATGAGGGCTTTCATACCTCTAGACTCTAGTTGAATGAATACAAAAAGTAGTTTCGAATATAGTTTTTGAGTCCTATTGGTTCATTATACTGTTGGTAACTTGGTATGTAATTCTATTGCTGGACAAGAATAACCTTTGCCAACCTCCAATATCTTCAGAACATTCATTGGTGAGACTGACCATATAAGACCATTAGTGGAACAGTACTAGTTCTACAGTGTCATCAATGAAGCTTAAGGCACCAGAGATTGGAAATGAGCAATGTCTGAAGTAGGGGTTTCTCAAATGGTAGTGACCAGCAATAGTTATGAATTATAGCACTGGTCCATAAACACTCCTTTTATAGAAAAAAGTGTCTATAGAACAATAACCAAATAATTGTGTCTATGCTTACCGCCATGTATAGTTTGCTCTAAATTGATAGCTTAACCTTTGAAGAAGGTAATTTGTTGGCAGTTCAGTCTGCTTGAAGGCCCAAATTTGCTTAATTCATTCACTTTTAACAAGTGTGAGAGAATTCTCTTACTTGTTATGTACTCCCTCCGGCCAAATTGTAAGTTGTTTTGGCCTTTCTAGGTACATAGCTTTTGCTAGGTATACATTATGTCTAGATACATATTAAAAATTATGAATCTAGCAAAGCCAAAATGACTTACAATTTGCAACGGAGGGAGTAGCTTACAAGCATCTGTGTAAATATTGGTCTACCAAACAATGTCGATATTGCTCACTTTATTCGGACCCATTCTCTCCATCTCATGAAAAAAAATTGTTAGCCCAGATGAAGAATATGACTGAAAATTTGAATCATTCAACCAGACAACTAAGCTTATAAATATAATCTTTGTTGGAATTGCAGTAATTTTTTTTATCCAATTTCATCATCTTATCGAACAATTGAAAATGGTGTTCTTTTCTTCTCTTGTGCCGGCGACCTAGATTTCTGATACTATCCAGCCAGTCTTGTTGTGTATCTGGGTACAACTGCCCCCAAAGCATGTTGGACTTATGGGCCTCTCTCCTATACTGTACTCCACAATGCGCTGCAGATGTTGCTGGATAGAGCTACCAGTCTGGATCTATCATAAGTTTTATGATTAGGCCCATTAACTTTAGCAAAAAGCTGTAACTTCGCTCGTTTTCAATATCCTTATTAGCTTAAGATGGTAGATGATAGAGGGGATGGCTTTGATCCTTGGTACTATTTATACTGGTGTATAGTCAGCACTACTGTGACTGGAGTCTTGGACCTTGATTATTTAAGATGCCTCCATGGCTCCATTCAAGTATTTTATGAATAGTTCCATGCCATGACATTTCAGTAGTGATGTGCTAGTATTGAATTCCTTGGGTAGATGAGAAATAGAGTCTGATAAGTGGAGTCTGATTAAATTGTCCTTGTAATGCCCTATTAGAAACCAGCTACAGTTAATGATAGACATATATGAAAAACCCTTGTCAACGACTTCTATGTCCTGTTAGGGAGAAGTCCATTTTTGGCCATCCAACTATTGCCCGAGTTTGTTTTCGGCCATGCAACTCTAAAACGAGAAATCTTTGGCAAATAAACTATCAATACTGTAGTTGGTTTCATAGGCGGTTTTGTATTTTCTGAAAATAATAAAAACCGTCAGAAAACTTTAGTTGTATTTAATTATTTATACAAACTAGTTTTTAGCAATGTGGCAGTGATAAAAAAAAAGACAGGTTTACAGGCGGTTGAATGTCAGAACAATAGAACAACACTGCTGAAAGCAATTTAGACTCTGGTGTCAAAACCAGTATGTGCAGTTTCAAGTTACAGAGCTACGCAAAACTCTCTGACATTAGTTTTTTTTTTTACCCATCTTCCTGTAATCCTGTTGTATTTGTATGTTTCTTTACGTGGATTCCAAATGGATAGATGACAAATATCATATTCCTTTTCTTTTATTGAATGGGAAAAATACCAAATTCCTAACTAAAGGTGCAACAAGAAAATGTTCGCATGATGCAGGACGAGAATAAGATTACTACCACAAACTCTTTTCACATTCCATAATTATTTTCTACTGGTTATATCTAAACTATGTTATCACTTGTTGGCAATTTGCATCAGGAAAGGAGGTTACTGCTTACATAAGTTATCTCTTTAGGAGCGCATTGCACCCTATACCCTCAACGCCAAGTATGCACTGGGATGCATGCTGGAGTATTTGAAATACTGAATATTGTACGATGGATGCTAACAGCTGGGTTATTTGAAATATTAAAGCACAGTACGGGCTGACCTGGACTAGTTTGTCTTATATGCATTTTTCTTTCCAAGTTCCAATCACTCTGTGCCTCCGTAATGGTTTTCTTCAGTGACATGGAAAGCTTAACGTAGTGTCTAACCCTATGGCATCATAAATTAGTTAGTGCCTTGGTTTGCTTCCTCGTTCCAAATATCCTCAGCTGTATGAAAATTGAACCACAATCTATTCTCAACTTTATGCCCAAAAAGCTTAAGCATTGATCTAGTGTAGAAAAAAAACTGTAAATTCACACTTGTCAGTGTCAGATAAAGCTGTGCTGTTATTGCTAGAGATTTGGAATGAGTTTGTTAATGCTAGCCGTCAATATCTTGGAGGAAAAGGCATCAGCTCTTACCTGCTCATAAGAAAGAATACCATTTTAAAAGAAACTAACCTGTAAACTGACAAGGACATAAGGACAAGTGGCTAAGGAAAACCACTATTACTGCTTCAGAAAAGCTCCCTGATTGATGCATGATTACAACAACAACAACAAAGCCTGATTGATGCATGATTATTGTAATTAAATATTATCAGTGACAACAGCATATGTTTTAGCTGTTTGGATCCTTCCTATCGGTGCTACTTGCTTTCTGTCGCTCTTTGGACACAACAGGTTTCAGTCAACTCACTGTAACTGCCTGGGAAGACAAGTTTCCTTCTCACAGTAGTAGCATTTAGAACTTTTCTTCTATTGTGGATTACTTCATAGCATTTCTTCAAGAAAACATTCAGAACTTGAATATAACACAAGCTTTTCTTCAGAAGAGAGGACTGGTCTCTTAGTCTGTTGCTCGCTGGTAAATGGCAAAAGTCTTGATGACTTGAGTCCGTTGTAGTTCTGGAATATGATTTCTGAGTTTTGTGTCATCTAAATTCCTTTGCCCTAACTTTTTAAAATATGCAGGTGCACAATTCTTCAACTAACATGCGTTGAACATTTAGATGATCACCATACCTCATGCAATTATATACTATTTCATGCCTAACAATCATATGACATGACACCACATTGACATATATTGCTTAGGATTTACTGAAAACTTGACTGGGGTTCCAGGGAACAACTAGGGTGTTGCAAAAACGGTATGGATAATCCAAACCTTCAAAATTTATAGTGTCGTATATTTACAAGTGTTTGGTATATAGTGTATGCATAGGAGCACACGTTTGCACTCAAAAAGAAAGAAAAAAACAGCATACGGAAACTACCCCTCTGAACTGAGATCCACACCAGAATATGGCACAAAAACAGATGTGAGAAGGGAAGAAAACTAAAACTGAAAAAAAAAACAAACTATAGAGTAACACAAACACACACACTCCAGGCTAGAATTCATACAAACTCGCATATGAACTGTTCATCAAACAACTCAGGCCAACTTGGGAACGGAATGCTGCCACCGTCACAGCTCGAGGCACCGCAAGCATCACCGAGGTTGGAAATGGGGTAGTCGGTGAGCGGCGGAAGGGAATTTTCCGACAGCAGCGTTTTAGGGGTTCCATTCTCCCCCTCAACGCTACTCTTTGGAGTGAAGTCTGAGTGCTGGTTGGCATCGTTGCTGGTGGGTTGTTCAAAGAAAGTGCTAGGAATTTGGATGTCAGGCAGTTGACCAGCTACTATGTCTTGGCCACTGATACTCTCCAGGAAACTTGGAGAAGGCAACGTAGACAAGTAAGACATCTGTGGAGGACTCAGGAGGCCGATTTGCTCCAGGTCACTGGGGATGGTGTTGGTGTTGATGCTGCTGGAGCTGGGACTGGTGGCAATGGATGCTGCAGACTGGAGCAGGTTCTGGAGGCACTGGAGCTTTGCAGCCTGGACCGCCTCAACATGTATCCTGGAAGCGTGGTCGTCCCATGGCCGCTGCTCCACGAGCTGGCGGAGGTTGGCCAGAGCAATGAGTTGAGGCAGAGCAGCAAAGAAGTCGGTTCTCGGCCGGTGCGTCATCGGGTCGAAGCCCATCTGGATCAGCTTCTTCTTCAGGTGGGTGTTCCAGAAATTCTTGATCTCGTTGTCAGTCCGCCCAGGGAGGTGCTTCGCAATAGCTGACCATCTGGTTTGATCATGACAACAGTTGACACCAGATTAGCATAGCAGTATAGCACTACGCACCAAGTCAAATATGCATGAGTTCTTGAAGATTAGATTGAAACAGACTAGTTGATGGCTTGATGCCAGACATGCAAAGAGATTTTACTAGGAAACTAGTGGGTGGTGGGTGCCAGGCATGTGTAAGAGGTGCAGTGCAGTACTTGTTGCCAAGGACGGAGTGGAGCTGGAGGATGGTCTGTTCTTCCTCCTGGGTGAACTTCCCTCTCTTGATGTCTGGCCTCAAGTAGTTGGTCCATCTCAGCCTGCAGCTCTTGCCACACCTGTTGAGCCCTGCAAGAACAATTAGATCGATGAGCTACATTTTCTCATAATAATGATCGACCTCTTTTACATTACACTGAGAGAAATGAAGGTTTGTTCCCGTCACATACCGGCAAGTCTGGGCAGTGCTCTCCAGCTCCCATGGCCGTGCTTCTGGATGTACTCCATGAGCTTCTGGTCTTCTTCAGGGGTCCAGGGGCCCTTCTTGAGACCATTCTCATCACAGCAAGGAGACCTTCCCATTGAAAGATGAGATGGGGCAGGGGTAGGGTGGTGCAGGTGGGAAGGAGGGAGACAACCTGCCTGCAGCCTCCCTTGGCCCTTGAAGCTTCCTGTCCCTTGGGTGGCTGCCTGGCTGGTCACCAGAACACAGCTTCCGCTATATAAAGACTTCAGACTTGGAAACCCCTGTTTCCTGAACCCAGGTTTTATACATAGTTTATATGAGTATAAATGACTAATATGTCCCTTGATCATTTGAGTATGCCGGCGTGCACATCCATCATAAAAGGGCAGGGGAGAGGGGTCTTAGTGTCCACTGCCCACACTAAAATATAGGGGTCCCTGATCATTATTTGTCTAGTTGTCTTAGATGTGCTTGCTAGGCTGCTAGACACGGTGCTACTTGGCCAAGCAATCTCAGAGCCAAGTTGAGATATGATCACCTCTGTGTTTCTTTTAGCATTATATTAGTATTATATATGTTGCGTTCCTTATTGTGTGTGTGATTATTTACAGTAATATCACTTCTAAGATTGCCATTAATTAGTTCAGCTCAGCATGTACTAATTGATGCATGCATTACTTCTAAGATTGCCGTTAATTAGTTCAGCTTAGACATTTTGGTGGGGCTGTTACTCCAAGCAAAATGATGAGCACACAGGTTCCAGGAAGTGCTTTGCTATTTCCAGATAAAAATGCATCTAGCAACTTCAAACAACTCTTTGTATGTACATATAGGGAGTCTTAGATCATCCAAGTAATATTAGTTGGTTTTCGTTCTGAAAACTAGTAACATATATCTGCTTCAAAAGTTTGTACATGTTGTTTTTTGGAACTACTTGGTACTTGTTTAGCACACCAAAAGTACAGTATCACACGAGATATACCACTTGCCATGCCAGCATGTATATATATTCCTGGATGTCACCGTACAAGTAGTCTCCGGTTCTTTTCTCATGTAATGGGACCTGCAGGTGATGAAGCCACCTATGCATGCATGCATGCATACATTGTATCTCGCCAGATAATATATAACCTAAGAAAAATATTGTGGAAGTATATACCAAAATGAAAGAGTCTGTTACGTACAGCCGGAATTGCGTATGCAGAAATCTGACTCTTGTTCCTGAACCCCAAAAGTAAATGCCTCGGTTTAGGTGGGGTACTATTCTCTGATCGCGGCACCTCGTAGTTAGCTAGTTCTATTATATTTGGACGGACGGGAACATCGTTCTAGAAGATTATATTTGGAACCATGTTTAGAGCAGAGGAAAGAAAGAGTGCAGATGCAACGGTACAAGGCTACTACTCAGCTTGAGCTAATGATGAGCGTGGATACATAAGTTTGGGTGCACAAAAGTCAAACCCGACATCAAGCTCTTTGGTTTAGGGATAACGATACTCGTGTTCGCCTGTTGATTTTTTTTTTCCTATTTCTGCAACTGATATGTAAGTGCCACAATTTTTCATGGTGATGTATATCTTGCAGCTTCTTTGAGGGAGTAGAAATATAAGATAAATTAATCAACACACTTGCAGTTTATTGACGGAGTAAATATATCACATATTATAATTAAAAGAAGAAGAAAATGTAGCAACGACCTATATATATATCTAGCACTAGCAGCACATATATCCGGCCACTTGCTGGAGATTGACAAATGAGGTCGCTGAACTGCAACCAAGCTATCCAGACAGCGTGTGAGGACCAGATCTTGCGATAGACGATTCGCTCCGATCCAAACAAATGCACGGAGATCAAGCGAAAATATATACTCTGCAACTGGGATTTGAGGACATGCAGCCTAAAGGCATAGCCTTTATATCCGAAAAAAAGAAGTGGCTGTTATCTACTAGTACTGCACTACGTACTAGTATTATACCTCCTGTTCCGCGGGCCACATGTACGTCCACAGCAGTGCAAGACAATGTCTAAATCCTTCTCCACCTAAACCTTGCTTCCAAGTTCCAACTCCATGCATGGAGATTAATTAGTTCCTTTTTTTGGCAACTTTTTTGAAGGTTTCTACATAGATTTTTGCGGATGAATTCCATCCATTTCCACGTGCTAGCTTTTGGCGACGTGGAGGCGTGGGGCCGGGGCGATATGCCTCCCCATGCACGCAACGTACGTGAGGGGACGTTAGCATCATGGGAGGGAGGAGGGAAAAGCTTGCGCGCCCGGCCGCCTCGTCGTTGTCTTGGTGGGGTGGTCGTCGTCGTCGTCGTCACCTTCTTGGCTTGTTCCTCCTGCCTGCTCCCTCCAATCCTCCCCGTGGCCCATCATTAAACAACGGGAACACGCGGAGTGGGTTGATTAGCGTTTCCACGTCGTTCTCAGGGTCCTTGAGTTGGATCGTGACAGCGCCGTTCTTCAACATATGAATCATATCATTGGATCCTAGTAAAGCTGTATAGCGTCGTCGTCGGATTACGCTGAAAATTTTAATTAACTGTTCAGGTTTATAATGAGAGAAATTTTCCCAAAGATTTGGCCTAACTAAACCCAGTACTGAAAGTATCATGTTCTCTGGCTTTTTATACTGGTTTAATTTATGTTCGGAGGCACGTATTACAATTCCTTTTAAAGTACAAAACTCGACCCGCAGTGGCTAAACAGCCTCCGAGATTTTCGGCTTAAGGTAAAGACCTCTCACGCAGGTCAAGAAAAACTCCCGAACCTCATGCCCTGCCCTCACATAGGGGCCCGTTACCCTGTGAGTGGATCGGTGCCTTATTAACCTGTGCTTTAGGAAACGCGGGACAGACGAGAGGCGCTACAAACTTGTCCCCATGGGGAATTGAACTCAGGCCGCGAGGATGTCAACCGGAGTACTTGACCAGCCGGTCTAGCATCCTTTGGCAACAATTTCTTTTAAAGTAACAGCAGGAGATCTGCTGATCTGTGAACTGAGACTTGAGAGAGAAGAGGCACGTATAACAATTAATGGTGCTTCATTTGAATTTGATTGTGATGATTGTCTTGCATTCTCATTGAATTATAAATGCAGCGTCCTAGTCTCGAGCTAGTAGGTTGTTTAATTTGCTCGTGCTCTGGCGACTTTTTCAAGCTCTCCTTATCAAAAATGACATCCGATCCACTTGTCTCTAGGGTCTGTCATGGGGTGATTGCTAATCTATTTATTCGTGCCTATATATATACTTATTGACAATATTTCCATGTCAAGTCAGCAGTATACCAACGAACATGCATGCGTACGTCCATACAATTCTCTGTCTATATACATCTGAATAACCGTTATGAGTATATCCGTACATGTTTTTTCCTACTTGATGTTTTCCACATCGGAAATCATGCATGTTTTGACAGACTAAGCCGTACGTCATTAGTCATTCATCTTAATATAAGTCTGACCAGGCTTTTGTTGCAGGCTCGCAGCTCAGCCGTTTTATTTATATATCTAAGCTTATATTACATAAAGAGTGCAGCTTATATACGGACCTAATATATATATAATAATGGACTAGCGTCACTTTGTATTATTCTTATGCAGACAACTTGGTCAGATACAAAAACTAAATGTATCTGGCCATATCTAGCATTAGTTAAAGGGCTACATGCTAAAAATATCTTATTACTACAGTTGCACGCCATGCATGGAGGATGGGCAAGACAAGACAAGCACCTACTACCGTGAATATAATTTTCTTTCTGCACGTAGAAAAAAACTACCGTTAGCATTAATGTAGCCGAGTTAAAGAAGAAGAAGAAGAAGAAGAAGTGGTCATCAGGGTTAACAAAAATGATGTAACACCCCTGGTGTTACGACCTTTTTGGCACCACGTTTTAGACCTAAGAAAATTTCGGAAAAACGATTTTCTCGGATTTTAAAATTTGACTTATATTTAAAAGTATCACTCGTGGTGAGTTATATTGAACTAACTAGTGGAGTAGCTCTCGGATGTTAGTCCGAAATTAAAAGTTATAATTTTCTAAGTCGGAAACGATTGACAATGACGTGTTAGCATTTAAATTCTCGCTAAATTCTTAAACACTAACTTTATATTATTGTATCGCTGGTTGTATCATCGTAAGTGTTTTGGTGTGGAGTGGTTCGTAGAATGGTTGGACGTAGCGGGGTTATCCCAAGAATGGCTCGAAACTCTTAGAACGCACGAAGAACTACGTTCGGTGCTCTGTTCATGAAACCGCACTTGTTGTCATTTAACTCATGTTGGCTTTCTCGTATCTTTTACCCTAGTCGCTCTTTGGTCGCGCTGCCAGGTGTTTCCCTAGCTAGCTGGTGGCATGGACTTTGGATTAGCGAAGTTGGCCGAACCTTAACCTCGCTGTTTGGTGGCCTTGGCATCGCTTTAAAAAGCGTGCACGGTACTGGTTTCGCCCTTTTGGCCTTTGGGCCGCGGTCACCATGCGTCTCTGCACGCTTTGGCAGTGTCCGGCTGAGCGCTGGCCGTGCCGAGCCACCGACGCCGCGCTGCCGTCCCCACTCGCTTGGTTGCCCGTCTGCCATGCCTTGCCCGTTAGCCCGGCCTGTGGGACGCCGACCGACGCCGCCGGGCCAGACAGTCGCATCCGCCTCTCTCACGTCGCAGCTGGCGAACGCGGCCTGTTGCCATTGACCGCCGCGCATTCACGAGCTTTTGGTGCTATCCGTGCTAGCCGACGCGCGCTTTGTTGGCCCGGGTTGTGCCACAAGCGCCCTACCCCACGCCTACCCCTCGCCTCGATCACTTTGCCGGCCACCGCTCCCGCTGCTCTGCGCTTTTAAGTCATCTCGTCGTCACCAGTTGCCATGGCCGCCTTTCCTTCCCTTCCAAAATTCATCGTGCACGTAGCGTTTCCCTCCAATTCCTTGCGCACACTGGTGCCCGAGGTCTTAAGCTTACCACTGCAGTCAACCGTGGTGGAAATCGTCCACCAGTGGGCGCGCGCGAAGCATAGCCGTCGCCGCCGGTCAGTTTGCCGCTGGAACAGAGTGCGATTGGGGGTGAGGTCTTATCCTTCAGTGGGGTTCCAATTAGTTGTTCATATGAGCTCA